TCAGGGTTAGGACAAAGTGTCTAGGAGTTCAGTCCAGGTTAGGTTATAGGGTTTTTCGAGCGATTCAGGTTTCAGGGTTTGGGATCGAGGGGTTGAGGGTTTTGGGTGTAGCCGTTGGGGTTTTAAGTTCGTGGGTGCATTCGGATGTGTAGGAGTTGTCGTGGGGTCTCGGGCCGACCCTCCCTACGTAAGTCCCTTAAAACGGTAGGTTTCTTGGGGTCCAGGTTGGGCTTAAGGTTTAGGGTTCAGAGTGCCAGGTTTCCGGTTTAGGCTTTACCGAGGCCTTTTCCTTTTGGTGGCTGCCTTATCTTCTGCAGTGAGCACCTTAGCAGGGTTCTTCCACCTTCGGAAGGACATTACAGACTTGTCTATTTGGGTTTTCTAGTGTGGCGGGTTTGTAAGTCTTTAATGTTTATAGTTTAATAGCGTTCCAAACCAGTCATCTAAGCTTATGTCAGCCGTCGGTTGAATTCGTGGAAGAAACGTGTCCATCAACCAGACACGGCCTCTGTCTGTAAGACTCCAGAGAGCGAGCTGGGGCCATCCTACAAGATCTGAGAGGAGGTTTTCTGATTCAGGGACTTTGTGAACCTGGTTGCTCGGGGTTTAGGGTTTATGGTTTTGGGTGTATAAACTATTGGGATACCTTGATACAGATTTTCTTGATCCGAAAGTTGAAAACGCAGCAGGTTCAGTCACATATTTCACGCTCCCCACTGCATACATGCATCGTCCTTTCTGTTTTTTTTGGACCCTTGCATTGGCTGGGCAATGCTAGGGTTTAGGGATGTTCTTGTTACAGGAAGAACTCAGCGATGGGCATTTAACCGAAGATCAACGTTAAGAGCAACACAAGGTTTAGGGCGCAAAGAGCTCTATAGAACCCCGTAAACCCTGAGTCCTAGCCCGTACAGCTGCTACAGAACCCCTCAGAGGCCTGGGAGAAAGTTTTCGGGAAGAGTGCGCACAGAGCAGATATGCTCACTGTTGCGCGGCGTTGTGCGAGCCGTCAGGTTTTAGGCTTTATAGCCCTAAACCCCAAACCCTATGGGGAGGGGAGGAGCGTCAGATTCATCGTGTTAACGCGGGCCGAAGCTTTCGGATTAACAGGATTTGGGTGTCCGCAGACCCCAAAATCTCAGGTCGAAGTTGCAGCTCCCTAGAGCCTAAATCAAGTAATCGACTGTAGAGTTCAGAATATTCTGCAATAATACCCCCCCGGTATATAGTCCGGGTTTGATTATGGCATAGTTTGCAAAGACCTATTCGAATTACTAGGGCCCCTGTATCAAGCAAGATCCTCGGTTTCGTTTCTCATCGCCTGAAGATGTTGACATTGTGTTGTGGTGCAGCCCAGCGGCTTCCGTACTAAGAAGTCGTCTTCCAGCATCCAGCTACAAACTATCCAAGAGGGTCCAGGGTCCATATTATACGGCTACTAATCACGATTATGGAATTTTGTCCCCCCAAAGCCATGATTAGACTGGTCTTCCTGGAGCATCCTTTGCTACACGAATTTGTGCTCGAAGCGCAAATGAGCGCATAGAGCCGCATATGGGCCCATAATGCCACATACCGACACAACCCAACCCGCAAAACGAGCGCAGACACGCGCAAACGAGCGCAAACATAATCTGAGCCAATTCGAGCGCACATAAGTGTAGGTCCAGGTTTAGAGCTTAATTCCATAGCGGTCGTATGTTCGGACCCTCTGGCCCTGTAGGTAGTAAGACCTAGCAGGGACGGGCATGTGCGAAATCTGAAACTGGGACCGTAGCTGCACGGTTAAATCGTGCAATCTGCTCTTAGAGCGAGTCCTTGCGTCGGTGTTTGTGGCAAGTGGCCTTGTATTTTGGTCCGTTCTTTTCTTTCAAGGACATAAGGAGGGTAGAGAAATAGTCCTGGGGAGGCTGAGACGTACTCCTGCTGCTACTCCTCCGACCCTGCATGGGATGTAGCTTAAGCCCTGGATCATTCAACCAAACCCACATGCTTAAGTTAAACTACAGGCCGTAATCTTTCAATCTTAATTATTGGTTTTCGCATGTCGGATTGGACTGGCTCTTATCTTCAAAATGCTACAGGGGAGTTTCCGAAACTTAGGGTACCCTACTTGGGGGTCCTTATAATAAGGATGCTACTATTTAGGGTACTATATTCTTAGGGGCTGAGTAGGTAACCTTTAACCTTTTGGGGCTTCTATAATCCTACTATAATTCAAAAGGTTAACCTTTTTTGGGCTAGGGTACTCAGCCCCTAAGTATTAGGGTCCCCTATTTTCGGAAACTCCCAGTGGAGGGCTCGTGGGCCGGGGCAGAGGGGACCAGGGACCGGTTTAGGGTTTAGGGTTTAGGGTTTAGGGTTTAGGGTTTAGGGTTTAGGGTTTAGGATGATCCGAGGCTCTAAGAATCGTCTATGCGCTGTTCTTGGTGTTCGCGGTGCTGGGAATGCAGGCGAATGCTGCCAGAGTTGGGCTTTCCGGGTTTAGGGTTTCAGGTTCGCTTGAAGGACTAAGGATCGGGTGTTTTTGCTGTATAAGGCGATAAGTAGCCTAATTCGGGTAAGCTAAGCAGGTGTAAATCATAGCAAGATAGTTAGTTGCTCTTGATTATGACCTTGTCGATAAATCCCATGATCCTTCATGCAGGGTTCGGATGGCGAGGCCCTGCATGCAGGCTTCTTGGGAGCAGGAGCGAACCTCTCACCCCGAAGCCCTAAACTCTGCGCACCCACCCCTCTCCCGAACCAATTCAATTCGGTATGCGTAGCCTGAAAAACTCCTTCTCTCCTGAACCAATTAATCTCTGTATGCCTAGCCTGAAATCGGCCCGCTTCTGGGGGGAGGGGGGTGGGGGCGGGTCCTGAGTGATACTTTGATAAACTGTTTCTATCAGTAGGTCCAAGTAGGTAGCTTGAAGGAAGCTTGCCTACGGACTGCAAGCAGCACCACAACGTAGAGCAACCCCTGGATTCCAGCTGAGATACATCGTTGGTTGGTTCACCATGTAATCTCCAAACTCTGAACCAGTCCAAACCTAAACTTGCAGCTTTGCGTTGCACGTCGAGTGAATATGGAGTAGCATTATGTCAGCTCGGGTGTTGCAGAATGAACATAGACATGTCCGGGTTCAAGGTTCATTAAGGGTTTAGGGTAGCGTTTTTCGGCGTAGTGCCGGTGGGGTCCAGTCGGCAGAGCGACTTTCAGACGGTAAGGGTCCCCAATTGTTTCTGAAACCCCATATACATGTGGGGTGGAGGCTTCGAACAGTTGGGGTTCGGAGTGTAGGGGCCTGGCCTACTTGCACAGCTTTCGCTTTTTGGAATCGAGCTCTTTCAGCTTGCCAAACCCAAAATCCTACGCCCTTTCAGCCCTCTGCTGCCGCTAGGTCATAAGGGGTACCTTAATTTTGGGGCTTTTTTAATAGGGATCCTACTATTTGGGGTGCTATATTAGGGTCCCCTATCTTCGGAACCCCCAAGGTGTTTCTTCTGTATTCCGTGTCATCCAAGCTTTGTGTTCCAGCAGTGAGGTGCCTTGGTTGCAAGATCGGTGGTGCTCAGTGCTCACTTGGGCTTCGGATTTTCAGGTTTTGGGGCCTTATACCACCCTTACACGTAATGGCCTAGCTCGGCCATGTTGTCGCAAAAGTGGCCTAGCTAAAACCGTACCGGGGTTTGGCTTTTAGGTGCCTTTGCGGTCCGTCTCGGTCTATTCTGACCGCGTGCGACGAGCTTTGCGCCAGAAGGGTCGCATCAAGATCTGTTCTGACCGGCATTGTGCGGCTTTCTGCCATGCAGCATAACCTACAGGGTCCAAGTACCGAAGTTACGTAAATAAGACAGCAATTACCATACTCTAACTCTGAACTTCTTTGGTACCCACAGCGCTCCAAATTGGGTACTTGGAGCCCAGGGGGAAGTTGCTTTCATGCTCATTCTGCAAGCCCAAGTAAAACAGTGAAGGCGCCAAGTGAAGATACCCTGCTTTGGGAGGGAAGTCGGCAGATGTTGCCTACCTGACACACGGAACCCGGAACAAAAGAAGATAGATCCTTCTCAAGTCCTGAACCCTAGAGGATCAGACTTATCTTATCTTTAACCCTCAAGCATGACACCCAACCAATAAACCCTGAGTCCGAAGAGCGTCCTCCGAGGACCTCTTTTTGAAGGGGCCCTTGAAGGGTTCCTTTAAAGAAACCCTCGAAAGTGAAACAACCCCCTGAAGCAGCGAAGGGCGCCGGGGTCCAGAGGATCGACCCAGAGGGGCCTGATGGTAGCTGATTAGATAGACCCTAGACCCCCAAAAGCCCGAAGTATGGACCCCAAACCCTGAACCCTAAATCCTGATTGTAGATTATAGGTCCAGTATAGACCCTAAAACCCTAATTATGGACCGCTTTGATAAAGCAGCCCAGGCAAATCCGTCATATCTATGACGAGTTTCAGGTCGCCATCTATGGCGAGGCTGCGCTTAGTAGCTGAATTAGGGTTTAGGGTTTAGGGTTTATGAATCAGTATACCTGACATTTTTGGGGAAAATTCTAACCCCCACTAGAACTGAAAGTTTAAACTTTTTTGGTGCTTATGAAGTCGGCTAACTAAGTCTAGATCTGCCTGCTTTGGTTTCGTGTTTCAGTAAAGATGTAGTATTAGAGTTTACCAAAATACAACCAAAATCAGGCTTCCACTTGAGACCCTCGTTTGCCGGAGCGCCTTATTTCCGAAGTCTGCTATCAGTAGAACTACTGCCGAACCCTAAATCCTAAAGCCCTAGAGCCCTCAAAGGCGTACGACCTACGAGCTCGGCGCAGAACACATCCTACAGACTCGAACCCGTAATTCCTAAACCCTAACACCCTAAGCACCCTAAACCCTAAATCCTAAACCCTATACCCTAAACACCCTAAACACCCTGAACACCTTAAGCCCGAATCTCTAACACCCTAGCACCCGATAACGCGCAGAACACCTACATCACCGGCAATGGATTCCACCGGGGCATGAAGGGCGCGGAGCCCAACATGACAGGCGCCGACTTGGTGTTCGGCTTGAGGTTCAGGGTTATAGGGGTTTCTTTAGGGTTTAGGGTCTAGGGGTTTAGGGCTCATAGGGTTTAGGGTTTAGGGTTGTGTTCAGGGTCTCGGTTTTTTGGGCTTTGGCTTTAGGGTTTAGGGGATCGGGTCTGTAGGATATGTACGGGCTTACGGTTGCGGGGTTTAGGGTTTAGAACTGGGATTTGGGGATTTCGGGCGTTTTTTGTGTGATCGGGCCTCACTGAGGACATAAGCTTCATCCCTAAACCCTAAATCGGATCTCGTGATGCCTGTAAGTCTTCTGTGCACAGCCTGTCGATGATGGTGGGCTGGAGTCCGAAGTAAGAGAGCGCACCTCAAGTTGCTTGTGGTTTAGGGTTTAGGATTTAGGGTTTTGGGTTTAGGGTATATAGCTCCACGGGAGGGGTGTTTTAGGATAGCGCCAGAGCACACCCCAAAGTTTGGCCCAAAAGGGGTGCAGGGTTTGGGAGTGCAGGGGTTTAGATACGGATTTAGGGTTTAGCGCCTCATGCAACCTCTAAACCCTCGGTTCTTGGATAGGATAGCCCCCAAGTTCTTCTCAATCTTCTTCGCAGTAATTTGTTGTTGTTGTTCTTATGGGTCTAAGGACCTTCCTAACAGATCCTACCTTGTTGAAGCTTCGTCTCCGCAGGCTTCAACTCCTTACCCATTGACAAGAAGGTGGAGATCTGCAGTGTGGCGCTGCTTCAATGTAAACCTCTGGGTTTTGGGCATTAAAGCTTACCTGTAGTCTCCATTGTAGTTCCTTTTTGGGGATACCTTATAAAATCCTTAATATATAATTGGTTAAACCAAAAAAAGGAACTACAATGGAGACTATAGGTATCCTTCACCTTGCGCGCTGTAAACCCTTTCGTGGCTTGAGGGGTCGGGGATTTACGGCTCGGGGGGGATTTCATGCTCCCAGGGCCTTGCAGGCAACCAGCGAACCGGAAAGTAAATGTTGATCAAAGAGTCCAGGCCCTAAGACCATAACTCGAAACTCCTAAACCCTACAGCTTCGATATCCTAAGCTCGAAACTCTTACGTAAACCCAGGCTTCTAAAGCCTTGGCCTTAAACTCGAGACTCTTGTCATCTCCAGCGCTTCGTTCGGAGTTGTTTTTGGGGGTTCAAACTCTTCACAGCCCCAAAGCCTGTATCTACGCACCTGCCTGACTCCTCGTGCTGCTGCGAAATTTAAGATCGAACTTGCTCCAAGGCTCAAGGGAACCTCTCAAAGAGCATTCGGTACCCATCTCCTAGTATAAAGACCCAAAGATCCCAATTTCGTCTGGGTTGAGACCTCCACCAGCTTCGGTGTCTTGTGTAGATAGGGTTTTTAGGATTTAGGGTTTAGGGTTTAGGTTTAGGGTTTAGGGTTTAGGGTTTAGGGTTTAGGGTTTAGCGGCGTCTGTTGGCCCGAGGCAAGTGCCACGGGAGCTAGCAGAGACATGTACAATCGATCGAACGACCCCGCATGCACCAAAACGCTGTGAGCATCTTTGAACGAAAAAACCGTGGCCACTGTATTACAGTATATTATAGAGTATTATGGTATGTCATAGTATACCATTGCACATTATCGCATAGTAAAGTATAATTATTCTAGTATATGTTAGTATGTGTTAGTAACCCATTTACCTAGAAGCGCAGCACCGGGCCTCCGTTCCAGACACAAAGCCTTCTCAAAGGTGCCGCTGTCTCAGCCATATTTTACCTACACCATCCTGCTCATCTGGACCATGACGTGCCGCGGCCCTCGAACAAAGACCCCTCAATTCCGCCCCAAAACCTCAACCTTTGATTTTGTCGAATCTGAGGGTTCTCCGTTTTGCCGAGTTGCTTGCAAAAACCGTGCATTGCGAGCTCATTGGGCCTCAAGGGCTGTTTTGTAGTCGCTCTAAGCTGCCCTTGCAGCTGCAACATGGGCTGGCTTCTTCAGTTATTATTGAGCCATTGTGGACATTTTCTTTCTTCCCATTGTTATTATTTTATTCATTCTCTTTCTTTATGTTATGATTATCATGTAGTAGTGATTGGTGTTTAGTTTTGTGACCATTACCTTTGCTTGTGTTATATGCTTGCATCAGAGATGTCAGCTCCATCGTTGACTGTTTAGAGTGCGTGTGCTCGCGATCAGCAGCTTGAAGCTTCCTCAGCACAGGCTTCACAGTTTAGGTTTAGGGAAAAGCCTTCTTGTGCGCAGCTGTGGCTAGATCCTTGCCGGGGAACTTGTGTTTAGAAGAATTGCAGAGCCTGCACAACAGGTGTCAATTGCTGCAGGTTCATGCCCTTACGGTTGGAGGTTTCGTGGAGCAGGGTTCAGGGCAAAGACGAACAATTGCCTGCCGTGTTCGTCTGGCCTGTCAAGACACAGTGTTGGACCCTAAACCCTAAACCTAAAATCCTGAACCCTAAACCCTAAACCCTAACCGAGCTCACTGGCGGCTTTGGGAAACATCAAGCCCTGAACAATCGAACCTGGACCCTTAGGCCATAAAGCACAACACCTGCATACCCCTAAAACCTACGGACCCCCTATATGCCCCAGAAACCCTACGAGACCTGTGACACCCTAGGCCGGTTTAGGGTCTAGGGTTTAGGGTTTAGGGTTTAGGGTTTCAGTGTTGTGTAGGACGACATGTACCCTCAATGAAGGGATTTAGGATCAATTACTATACCATTGTCATATGATTCGGGGTTCATATTAATATAACTTTCAGCATAACGATAGAGGGACCCTTTTTTTTGTAAGGGTCAGTTGGTCCATAAGGTACCATGAGCCTTTCTCTTGGTAGGTAGCCCTCCGGCAAAAATCAGACTGGCGAGACTTCAGGGAAGGACTAATACGGGTGAAGACCGATCAAGGCTTGGGATTTAAGATTTAGTCTAGGGGCCTAAATAATCACTGATTCCATCTCGCAATTCCTTACTATCAGTCTCGTATAAGTACGCCCCAAAACCCTATTTAATTAATTGCTAAGGCCATTTAAGGCCCCTTTGTTCAAGGCTTCGGATGTAGGGTCTCGGGTTGGGGTTTTGGGTTTCGGGTACCTGAATCTCGGCACTTCGCCCCTGGACAGAACGGGTTTCGGGCACAGGGCGAGTTGGAGTGTAATGCACGTGTGCATGTTAGGACAAGTCGAGTGGAAGCGCACTTTTGGTACATACCCCGCAGCGTTGAACAGTCGCAGTGTATGCCCTGGGGGTGTCAGAGACTCTATCCGAAGTTCGAGCGCTTGTACAAGTTTTTTTCGAAGGTTCAGCAGGGCGAGTGGAAATCCTTGCGCGGCCAATTCTCCCAACTCGTCGACGAAGTTGCCGACTTCCAATCCACGCGCCAAAGTGGGGAACAGCGCGTGTGAGTGGCGAAATCGCGCTGTTCGGAGGGGGGGGTCCAGAGGACTCCGCCCCGGGCAGACGTTCCATGCACCTCAGCCAGTGGGACGAGGAAAAAGAGAGTCCGCTGTGCCAGCTGCATGTTGTGTTAGGTAGGAGTGAATGCTTTCGCGTTGTTGTGTGCGCCTACCGAGACTTGTCTTGCAGGGTTTTGCATGGTGCAGACCACGGATTTGTAAGTCCACAGCTTTGTAAACTTCAAGGCTCATTCAACCCTAATTAAACTTTAAGCCTGCTTGGAGACTAATATGCCCTGAGCCTGCAAACGTAAACCCCATCAGGTGCCTCGCAGAAATTCGGCGAGCTGTAAAACTGCTTTTCACCACGCTGGTCAATGTTCCGACGGTGCCTTAGCTGAGCTAGTAGTACCCTTATAGAAACCCTATAGAAACCCTTATAGATCCCTTCAAGGAGCCCTGAAAAGGGGTCTTACGGTTTAGGGTTTAGGGTAGCCCCACACCCTGATCCTTTCAAGGCCCCAGCCCCAATGTCGAACCCCAAGGCGGCGTACCGAAGCAATGCCTAAACTGGGTTAGGCAAAGCCCTCTCCATGGAAGCCCATTTGCCAGAATGGTAAGTTAGTGCCGTTCTTGCTATGGCAACCGATATACCTATAGGCTCCACTGTAGTTCCGTTTTGTGGTCTATATATCGGATCCTACAAGGTACTCCCAAAATGAACTACGGTCGAGACTATAGGTATGGCCTGGTCCAAATCCTAAACCCCTCCAGAACTGAGTGTCAAGACCTCAAGTCCAGCGCATATGTATGCAAAATTCCGGTTCCCGGACCCCGAGGCCTAAATCCTAACCCGAAAAACTATATTAGTATGTTTATAGAAATCTGTACATCATACGGTTTTCGTTTGTTTCTTGCATTTGATTATTTCGGTATGTATTCATTCAGTTTGTTTGTTCATATATTTAGGTATTGTGCATGTGTACTTTTTCTTGATTTATTCATTTATGTACCTGTGGGTTTCTTTGCGAAGGCTTGTTCATTCGTCATTCATTCATTTTTCCATCCATCCATCCATCCATCCATCCATCCATCCATCCATCCATCCATCCATTCATGCATTCAATCATGCATTAAATCATGCATTCATTGATCCATTCCTTCGCTCGTTCGTTCATTCATTCGATCGGTCAGTCATTCATTCATTCAGTCATTCGTTCAGGTTGTTTGTTTATGTGTATATCTACATATGCAAAGGCACACAAACGCGTCTGTCCGTCTGTCTGTCTGTCTGCCTGTCTGTCCGTATGTATGCATGTATGTAGGTATGTAGGTATGTATGTATGCATGTATGTGTGTGTGTATATGTATATACGTATGTACTGAAACATGTAGGTCTGCAGGCATGCATGCATGGATGTATGCATGCAGACGTGCATATTCATTTTTACGTGCATAGAACGTGTATGTATGTATGTATGTATGTATGTATGTATGTATGTATGTATGTATGTATGTGTATATATATATACATGTGTATATACATATAACATGTATATATAAATATAAATATAAATATAAATATAAATATAAATATAAATATAAATATAAATATAAATATATATATAAAAATATAAATATAAATATAGATATAAATATAAATATAAAAATAAATATAAAACTAAATATAAATATAAATATAAATATAAATATAAATTTAAATATAAATATAAATATAAATAAATATATATATATATATACATATATATATATACACTTGCATGTATGCACACTACGCATATGCGGCTAACTGGTCTTCTAGGCCGGGTTGGATCAGGTCAAGAGGGTTGAGCACGTCTTGGACGCCGCTTCGTCAGCTTTTGGGCGCTTTCGGTGATGTTGCTTCAACTGGGTTCGGGGCGTTTCGGGTTTAGGGTTTTGGGAGTAGGGTTTAGGACTCGTTGAAAACCTAACCCTTCGTGTGTGGCGGGCTTCAGTGAATGCGGTCTATAAGCTCAGGTCAAAGTGCCTAGTGGCATGCAGGTTTCGGGTTCATGTTTCCGACGTTGGCTTTGGATTCACCGTGGTTGTTGAAGCTGGGGTTCGTGCCGGTATTCGTTGAGAACCCTTGGCCACCACCCCGCTCCCCAGAGCTTTGCATCCATCCTGGTGTCGTGCTGTGTAGGGTTCAGCTGTAGCGTCGAGAGTTCTCGTTTTCAACATACCCAAAAACTTTGGGGTTTTGGGCAGTTTGGGGTTGGGGGTCCTTTTGTGGTTAACGTCGGGGTCGGAATAACTCGAGTCACTATCATTCTAGTTCTGAAGGGCCCTAAAACAGTTGCCGGGGTTTGCAGAACGGCTTCTATTTTGGCATGCTAGGGCTTCAAACAAGCCGCAACTTTGATTCAAGAGCAGTGGCAGTTTTTTTCCAAACGTGATAGCAGCAAGACGAGTAGCAACGACATACAGCAGTAGTAGCTACCACCAGAAGAACCTAGCACCCGCACCACCTTTGAAGGAAGATCCCCCCGAACATCTCTTTGCCTGCATGCTGAGGACAAGACCATTGTCGGGTATACGAGAGGCGCCCGGCATCTGAAAGACTCATGATCTTTGAAGCCGGGCCCTGGCATGTTCTAGCAAGATATCGCGAACCCTACACCCTAAACTCTAACCCCTTAATCCCTCAACCTTAAAACCCTAAACCCTGCAAGGGATAAAGGTAGCAACCCATTGCCCTTCCGCGCTTCAAGACAAGGCCTCTGCTTCTCGACGGGCTGCAGTCTCTATGCCTGCTATCTGCGATCCCGAATTCCCGAAGATCCTTTTATATCTACATTTAGTATGTGGATAGGGTCTTCAGGGTTTAAGAAGTTTAGGGCCTTTAGGGATTTTAGGGTTTCAGGTCTCGGTGCACGCAGGCATGAAGTGTTTCATCGGCGCTTTCTGCTTCTACCCTCGCATCGCCGCGACGATGTTGCTGAACTACCTTGGCTGCCGATGGCTCCTGTCCACTACGAACCTTGAGGAGCGCCGGCACAGTCGCAACTGACCTCTGACGCATGCTGACAGGGGTCATAAGTAACTGCTCCATGCGCAGCAGGATTTCCTGGTGATCGTCCCATGTTTTCTGGGGCTACTTGGATCCGTAGGATACCTTCCAAGCCCTGATCGAATTATGTAGGCCCCCAACCCTAAGCCCTACGCTGCAGCTGCCGTTTCCGCTGCAGTGCCCTGGAGTTGATGGACAAACTTCTGCAGTACTTCAGGCACCTTGCTGTTCTTTTTATGAACAGCTTGAACCGACCAGCGGCCTAGCAGCATGAAACCCTGGTTCGCCAGGGTGGATCAAGACGTCAGTCCCTACCTGCACCGACTCAACGCCTATATGTACATATACGTTGTGTATGCATGCATGTATGCATGTACGCATCTGTGTGTGTACGTATAAACAAAAACATACATACTTACATACCTACCTACATAAGTACATACATACATACATACATACATACAAACATACATACATACATACATACATTGACATACATACATACATACATACATACATACATACATACATACATACATACATACATACATACATACATACATACGTACATACACACATACATACATACGTATACATACGTACATACACACCTTACATAC